GAAGCAACTGCCATGTGATTGGTTGATTAGATAATTGCATTAATGAGAAATTGAACAGGTGTTCCTAATAATCCTTTAGGTGAGTGTATTTAGCAGAAATTAAACAGGGCTAGACTCAACTAGGGTGAAATTAGGCCACCATGCTGCCCTATGTACTTAGTAATATGCATGATACTACAAGACTACAATTTACAAGAAGGCCAAAGTATTTTGAAGGTATGTGCATGGCAAAATGATCTAGCAAATTAATTTCATCTTACACAGAAAAATCCATATGAAAACTCATACTTTTTAAAAAATACTGTACCTTAAGACACAGCAGAATGAACTTCAGTTAATCCATCTCACAGAAAATGCGGATGTGTTTATCAATAATATTAAACATAAGTGACTAGGATTTTATTCTCACAACTTCCTCCAAATATATTCAATACAGAGATATCATTCAGGCTATTACAATATGTTAACGTTCTTTGTCTGAAGTCATAGATGCATGTTTAAATTATGGTCATTGCAGATACCTGTATGTCTTGCATTCAAATTATTCATACAGAAATATTTCAGTCACCCACATCAGTTCTGTCCTGTAATAAAACCATTACCATGTCACAAAATAAAACTAATAAAAAAAATATGGGAAAATACAGGCGTTTGTGGCTTTTTGTGGTACATCAGCTTCTCAGCACCCATTCATTGCCAAGATGCTCGTGAAATTTTCTCCGTCTCTTTGCTCCACAGTAAATTGGCTTACTTTCGTTTAAACCTGTGATGTGGATAAAATGATTAACAATTTCAACTGTTATACTGCACAAGAGTCAAAACAGACATAACAATACTAAGGACAATTTGGAAGCCAGCTGTCAGATGCAGACGGTTATCCTTCCTAACCATGATGTCAACATGTAGCTCATGAGCATCAGATGCACTTACTTGGATTTTGACTTGAAGCGGCCGCCTCCTTTGTTATTGATCCCCAGTCTCTTTCTGTCTTCAAATGAGGGTCTATATTATACAAGAAAATACTTTATAAATATCTAACGCATTTATGTTTTTATATATATATATATTTATATTGTGTGTGTGTGTGTGTGTGTGTGTGTGTGTGTGTGTGTGTGTGTGTGTGTGTGTGTATATATATATATATATATATATATATTTTTCACACACAAATAATACAAATAAAATACAGTAGCAATCAAAATTAGGAAACAAGTGACATTTTTGTTATTCACAATATTGCTGCTTATCCAAATTCATTCTAGCATGAAGGTGAATTTTAATCATATTTCAACACTGAAAACTATCACACTTCACAATATAAAAAGGTTAAACAAGTTATGTGAAGGTCTGTGATCAAAATTAGAAAACGGTTACAATTTCATTGCAGAAGCAGCCTACAAATGATTACAATTTTTGATGATTACAACTTTCAGAAACTAGCAGAAGGCAAAGAGGCCCCTGCTTTCAATGACTTTGGCACATCAGTGCCCACTGGACATAAATTTCTCACGCTACTCTGACTTGATTTCGTTCCCCTCCTCCTCCAGTTTCTTCCACACTTCACTGTAGTGGATTTGTTTGCCATAGCTTTGTTGCAAATGACCTTCCAGAGATTTTTGATAGAGCTCAGATCAGAAATCTGGACACTTTCACACGGAAGGAACTTTAGTGGGATAACATAACGTTTTTTTTTTTTACACTTGCTGGCCAAATTTAATAAAAATGATAAACATGTCATGCGTCGCATAAATGAAATATAAATGAAAAACTGTGTCCCGTTTTGATTGCGATCGATAACTACAAAACGAATTGTTCTTCCTCCATTGTTTTGGGGTGGTAGTGAAGTTTTGCATGAAATTATGTGTAACGTTTAACTTAGGAACTTTCTGCAGCTCCCATGTTTATTTAGCATAAAGGACTTAGTTCCTGTTGTGCAGTGTGAAAGCGACACACAAAAATGGCCAGGAAATACAAAAGTCCCCAGTGGAGCCCAGGATCTTAACAGGAATCTGGATCTAATACTTAAGTGTGAAAGTGCCTCATTTCATCACGTCAATGTTCTAAGCTTTGAGGAATTGCCACACTTTGGCAGTGTGACAAAGGATATTATCTTGTATTAAAAATGGCTGCCTGGTTGGGTGAAGGCCTGACTCTTGCTGTAGAGAACATGCCCAACACCAGTACAATTACCCCCTCAGAACTTTGCTTCTTTCACATACTATAGGTGAAGTTCTTCCCCAATTCAACGCCACCAATTAAATTTAACTTTGGACCAGTTCGCTGTCCCCATAACACGCTCCTCAGCAAAGGGCTAGTCAAGCCTGCTTATTCTTTTTGCTGATGAGCGGCTTTGCCACTACAGAGCGGGCTCTCAGTCCACATTGTCCCAGAGGACGATACCTTGTCAAGACAAATACTTGCCCTGTGCAGAACTGATTTGGCGAGCATTCCAGCTGTGGTGCTGAACCGATCCACCGAGAATCTCCCTGTCATCCTGTTCACTCGTCTCACGTGGGCAACTGGCCTTTTTTGGGATTTGAATGACTTCATTTCTTTTGTTCAGCTTCAATATTTGAGAAATGGAACGACTGACTCCTCTTCCAATGGGTAAGAGAGTCATCCTGTCAGCCTTCATCAGGGTTTCTGTCACCCTGGAGAGACCCACCATCTAGAAAAATGCCTGCCAATGTCGCCAAATAGATTGGGATTGCCAGATATTTTAGATCAGAACAAATCGTTCTCCAATTTTAAATCGCAGACCATATTAGAATGCCGTTTAAATCTTTAATTTTGTAAAGTACGATATTTTCACTGATGAAATATGATTAAAATACATCTATTCAGGTTAGAATAACTTCAAATTCAGATAAGCAGTGACTCTGGAAATTACAAAAAAAAATCTGTAATTTTCAATAAAGTGAATCTTTCCTCTCACACTGTTAGCCTGAATTATCTAGGCAGATCTGGAAAAAAAGCCTTTCAATGAGCAAATGAAAACTGGTCAGTACTCTGGTGAGAATGAAGCATACTGGGTGTTTTTTCCAGTGACCTACCCAGCCCTGTACTGTTTCAGCGCTTTCTTGCTAGTGTTGGTGAGCTCCTTGTCGAAGACTGATTTCTTGGTCGGTCTCGTTCCTTTCTGCTTAGTCACTGTAAAACAAACAAAGTTTCTGGTAAAGTCCAAAACCTGACACAACAAACCATGTTCTGGTAACCATGCACACAAAGAATCACTTTCTACTTAGAAGTGAGCCTTGTTATTTAATGGTGATTTTTAAACTCTGAGGAAAAAGATACTACGCAATCAATTTACAATGATTCAGCAGACTTCAACATTACTATATAAAAAGCATGCATTCAAAAAGAGAGCAATATAGGAACATTGCAGGGTAATGCAGTAATTTTCCTGGACAGATGGTATTCACATGGTGTACCTTGTTTACTTATGAACATAAAATTTCACTTTACTGCAAGGTTATTGACACCAGTTTCTGCTCAAGGCAGAAAGTCAGACCTAAGCTATAAATAAGCAAAACAGTGTCTAGTGAACTGGTAAACAGCCATTTCCTGGTCATTAACTATACATTGGCATAACTAATGCAGCTAAAGATAGTAATACAAACAAGAAAAAAGACTTTTAAAAGAAATACAAGAAAACAGAATGACTCTAAGCTTGAAGTGGTTTAATCAGCCTGGCAACTGGCCACTCCTCAATCGAGGAACACTGATGAATTGTTTTATTAACACCTTAATATTCTACCTGTCTACAGCTACAAGTGTACCATTTTTACTTCAGATTAATATCCCACTGCCAATACAAATAAATGACCAGGCTATTATACGGTCTTGATTTTACAATATTACCTTAAAAATTGGTGTTCTGGTGACAGTATTGTATAAACAGAACTTTATAATAAAGTCCTCTTTTACAACTCAGAACTGCATTTTTGAACCAGTCATGGAATTCAGCTTCAAAATGAAGCAACTGATCTGTTCATGGTTTTTAAATGGTTTTAAACTGAAAAACATTAAAGATCAGGCTAAGATCTAGACTAAAATCATGGTATGTTTCCATATGGCATAATAATGGAAAACATGACATAAGTGTTCTGGTTCTCTGTATGAGACGTTTTTCCAAAATAGTTGTTTTAGAAGCTGACCTTTCTGCACGGGAGCGCTATCCTCAGGCATGGCACGCGCCCGTTTGGGTTTGCGGTCCCTTTTCGCCACCCGCTCCGCATACATTTGAGACTTGAGGATCTCAAACTGAGCCCTGTCCTCTGCCTGAAACAGAGCCAGAGACACTGGATTAACGCCTCAGATATATATGTTCAACCCTATACATTTATATAAATATATATTAATGGATGGAAATTATATATTTATATAACTCCATGTAGGTATGGTACTAATAAAGTATATAGGAGAGCAGTACAGTTCAGGGGGTTACTAGTTCAAGTCCTACAAAGACACCACCGATTACCTGTTTATACAAGTAACTAAATTGCTTGAGTAAATGGGCAGTTATAAAAGTGCTTTAAACTGCAAGATCAGAACCACCTGCTAAGCAACTGCTGTCACAAATACTGACAGCACACTCCTCTCTTGTACCACCAGCATTTTTACAATACATAAGTGACATAAAGAAACACAGAAAACACTTACAGATAGCGTTTTCTTTTTTCCTTCTTTCAAAAACTTCTCTCTTCTCTTCTTTCCCCTTAGAGCCAAGTCGAAATCTTGCAGGGCCTTTTTCACTGGAAGGAAAAACAGTGCTTCGTCTGTCGCTGCACTCCAGTGTCATTCATTCAGACAGGACATGCCCCCGCCACACCGTGTGTCAGCTGACGCACTGCAGTCCCCCCCCCCTCCCCTCCAACTCAACCACACTCACTGCGATCTTTCTTGCGCTCGTCGTTGGTCTGGAACCAAGTCCGCTGGGGCTCCTGGTCCTGGCCATCCTGCTTGAGGCGCTTCTCTGCGGCGCTGATCTGAATAGCCGGAGCACAATCGACAAAATGAGTCACACGTAAGCAGCAGGTATCCCAGTGACAGTGGAAGTGTGTCTGTGATAGAGCCACCTGACGCTAATGCGAGGATTAGCTAAACAAGAACATTATCACAGATATTAACCCCGTCAGCTGGCTTCCTACCTGCTGCCATCAGGAATATTACTTTGGGTACAAGCTTACTGACATTTTTTTGTTGAGTTTGCATTTGCATTTTATTTTTCTTTGCTGCTGTATGCATCAATAAAGTACATCATCCATCTTTCCATCTAACAATCTTCAGATTCTAATTGAACCACTCAGCGTAACATTTATTATACAATCACAGTAATTCCATAGATTTACCGCAATTCTGTTTTGTTCTGTTTTTTCCATAATTGAGAGTTCTGAGTTTTGAAACTTGGACTTCAATTTACAGGCCAATTTTCTCAGTGTTTCTCAGCCAAAGACTGCTCAGATACACAGCATTTAAAAAAAAAAAAAATTATGTATGAAACAAATGCTTTGTGTAAAAACAGAATTACGCACAAATTCCCGCTGTACAATAAGTACAATGACGCTTCATTAAATTACATTTTATTCAAAATTGTTGTTTGTTACTTATATGTTCTAGTGTTGCGAGAGCAGATTATTTGGATTTGGGGTTGGGTTATAATGGAAATAGGTTTGCAGTATGCATTTATTTGATTTATGGTGGTCTTTCAGGAATGAATCAACGACATAATTCATGGGAAGGCTGTAGCATTTACGGAGCAGGGCGCAGCATGCCGACCTGGGCTGTGGAGTAAGCCATCTCCCTCTCCTCCCTCTCCAGACGCATCACAGCATAAACGTCCTTCTCCAGCTTCTCGATCATGTCCCGGAATTTCAGGATCACCTCTGGGGGGACAGGGGGCAAACAGAGAAGGCAAAAATCACAACGAGGACACACTGGAGTAACAGCGAAAGAGTGAAGAGTAGTATGTATTATAGTCTCCTAATTACGTTTCCATGTAAAGTATCAACATCATTGTAAAATATCACTGCTTTAAAATATGCCAGCTAGAGGCTTATTTGTCCAGGGAGAGTTAGGTAATTGTTGTAATTGTACTTGTTCAGTTGAATGCAGAACAGGATCAGATTCTGGCCCTGTGGGTTAGGGCTCAGTTTGATCGGAAGGGCGCTGGTTCAAATCCCTTGGCCAGCAGAATGACGCTACCGTTCGGGTCCTTGAGCAATGGACTGAGTGACGCTGCTCTCTGATCCAGGCTTGCATGTCACTTTGAATGAAACCTTCTGCTATATACATGTGACACACTGTAACTGGCGTGTGGGTGCGAATCTCGGCTCGTGGTCACGCACCCTGTGGCAGGACACGCGCCTTCACTGGTGTCTTGGCCTTCTTGACGATCTCCTTCAGCATCTTCCTCTCCGCCTCACCCACCAGCGAGACGGATCGGCCCACGCGGCCGGCGCGTGCCGTACGACCTACCCTGTGGACGTAGTGCTTCACCGTGTTCGGCATGGTGAAGTTGATGACCTGGTGGTGACAGCTTAGAAAGATAAGAATTTTTGATGTACAAAATTTTATCTGATCTATTTTAACACCATGTAGATATGGAAGAGAAAACCGTATTAAAATATCTATTACACAAAGAATGGAAATATTTAAATATTCTTTCTAGATTACCAATTTGTATGCACTATAAATTATACAGAATACCTAGAACAATAGTTTGAAGCAGGATGCTTATAGTTTTGTGATACCCACGACCAGGGGCGCCGTAAGGGGGAGGAAAGCTAGGACGATTCCAAGGGCCCCTGAGTGACAGGGGCCCTAAAAAATTAGGAAAATAACTGGATTGGTTTGGACTGGGGGGCCTAATATGATATGCTTTCATGGGGCCCAAAATCTCTAGCAACACCCCTGCCCACGACACTGCAGTCTAAGAAATTAAGAGAATTACATAGGACACACTATAAAACTTGGTTTTTCTCAAATAAATTACTCAGCCTTACCGTCTTAACCCCTTCAATGTCCAAACCCCTAGCAGCTACATCTGTAGCCACCAAAATGTCAATCTGTTCATCTTTGAATCGCCTGTGAGACAAAAGAGTTCCGCATAACTCAATTCCAGATTGAATCTCTGGAAATGAAACAATGTATCCAGACACTGCATTTATAAAGCTATTATGAGTTATTAGTAACTCTATCCTGTTTGCCCATTCATATACCCTGCAACTACTCATTCTGGACAGGGCTGGGGGGGTTGTCTGTAGGCTCACAGTATCTCGGACTGCACAGGATGCCCCCCCCCCCCCCCCACACACACACCCCCACACACTCTCTGGCTAATTATGAGACAGTGGTCTAGCTCCAGGAGGACATTCACACAACACAGGGGAAACATGCAAACTGTCTCACACTGACAGAAGGGCAGCATTCGAACCCCCTACCCAGGAGGTGCGAGACGACAGTCCTGAGCCGCCGCCCCCGTACCTCCGCTGCACGCACAGCATATTTATACTCAATCCGATGAATCATCGAAACTCTAATTGGTCAAATGAGGCACATCAGTGCATGAGGAGAACCATAATGCACCTTATGGGTCAGCAGAGACCCCATTGCTGGGCACCTGCGATCTGCAGGATTGGACGCTTAGCTTAGCATGAAGCAGAGCTCCTTAATAACGCGCTCTGAATCACACCACGGAAATCATGTAAAAATGGCTTGTTTGCATCTGACTGTTATCAGTCACCTTAATCTTATTTTGTTTTACTGTTAGCAAAAAATTCTCTTAATAAAAAGCTTAAGCAAAAACATCTTTCAGACTTCAACTGTAATTTAGGCGCAAGAGCAATTTCCTACAATTCTGTTGGGATCAGTAAAGTACCAAAGAATCAAATTCATCATTTATTTATGCATACTGCTAAAATCATTCAAGGCCTGAGAGGTCACTCACTGGTGATTAATGAAAATAATATACAGCGATACATCTGGTGGGGCTTTATTGTATCATTTATTTATACTTTACAAATCTGACTTAACCTCGACATCCCAACTAGGATAGGCAGGTGCAAAATTAATGGATGGAAATTCAGGTAAGAATTAGCAATGAAATATTTCGATTTACGACTCAGTTGAACACAGTTTGCTTTGTCAGTTAATAAGAATAGGGTTAATTAACTGAGCTCAGCAGCATTAAGCAGTCTTTGAGGACCAGAGCTGTGAAACTGGTGTAAGACTAGCTACAACAATCAATTTAATGGCTCATCACCTACACTAGCCACCAGGGGGCACTTAAGTACAAAAAAAAGAAAAAAAACATTCAAATGTGCAGTGAACTGAAAATCACTTCACTGAGGAATGATTTTAATCACCGAGTCCATTTACGCGCAGGCTAAAACTAGGGAGGCATGAATGAAGCTATAGCAATCTTAGGAAGTGATGAGGGTACCTGAGGGCCTCGAGCCTCTGGGTCTGGGACAAGTTCCCGTGAAGCTCACCCACTTTCAGGCCAATCAGGCCCAGCAGGATGTGCATGCGATGGGCCTGCTTCTTGGTCTGAGTGAAGACCATGACGTGATCCTGGAAGGTCCTGGTCAGCAAGGCTGTAGGAGAAACGGGGCTCACGTCAGGCGGACAGATATCACGGTACAGGATTCCGGCAGGTCGCATACGGACGTGAGCAGAAACGCATTCACAAGGAGCGGAGGCGGCGAAGGAAGTAAAAGGAAGACACTACAGATCTCCCTTTCAGCACAGTCTGCTACAGAAAAACAACAGGCACCCCCGATTTGGCCCGGGCGCATGCAGACCTCCCAGAGGCAGCACTCACCAGCCACAATGGCCTCCCGATCCCCCTCCCTAGCTGGCCTGATCCTCACAAACTCTTGCCTAAGGAAAGGTGCCACGTCGGTGTTGCTGTTAACAAAGATCTTCACTGGCTGCTTCAAGGAGACAGAAGCCAGATCTTTTACCTGGAAAAAGCAGGAATATACAAGTAAACGACATGAGTTGCCTCAGGCCGTTACCCCTCCTGGGCTGTAGGGTCCCCCCCGGCTCTGTGTATGGTGTTCTCCCAAAATGAGGACCACTCATACCTCTTCACTCATGGTAGCCGAGAACAGCATGGTTTGCCGGTGGTAGGCGCACATTCGGATGATCTCCTTCATCTGCTCCTCAAAGTACTCATCCAACATCCTGCAAGAGACCAAACTCAAAACTGGCTTCGACCAAGCTGGACTGGAAACAGTTCAGAGCCTCCAGAAGGACGTTAAATGTCAGACGGCAGATGATCTTGGCTTGGGCAGGGTGCCGTCAACGCTCCCATCACCAGAAGCTACCGGAAGGGTATGCAATCTTCTTCCTGCTCATACCTGTAAGCTTGGTATTTCTTTTTACATCTCCATGTATAATACATAATTATGGCTATTAAATATTGTGATAAGCAACAAGTCCTGTCTTTCTAGAGAACTTAAAAGACATTTAGAAAAACTCTGTTTACCATCCTTGATTTACCAATTGGTTCCACAACAAGTGTAATAAATTACATTATGACAATAATTATTATATTAACTCCACAACACTACATACCGATCAGCTTCATCCAGAATGAGGATCTCGATCTGGCTGAGCTCAAAGGAGGGTGTGTTATGGAGGTGGTCGATCAAACGGCCCGGTGTGGCGATCAGGACATCGGGTCCAGCCCGCAGAGCCGCCTCCTGGGATTTGAGGTCCAAACCACCTGAAATACGCGTCGCGGTCGTCTAAACAAGGAGGCTGTAGGGCTTCCATAAACTGGCAACAATTTTATTACTGAGTGATACATCTGTGTTACACTTAGTATTAAAATGATAATCATCTGTTAGGGGACTCAAATCAAATCACTATTTTCATACCGTCATACAATACAGACATACTGTGGCATATGGCATTTTCCATTTTGCAATACAGTTCCAATATTTTGAAATCTTGCCGATAAAATTGTCTAAGCAGGTGGCATCCCTCATAATGAGATTGGCTGAACACAGATCATCAAAAAGTCATCAATCACGCTTTGCAATTTTGATGATTTTTCTTTTTCAAGATTATCTAGGTTATGTAAAAAAAAAAAAAAAAACAAACAGTCTAATGTTTACCGCCGCTGCCTTTGCCCGAGCTCTGCATGCGTTCTCCAAGCCAATCGTAATCATTCTCATCATTGCTGTCGTAAATTTGTGTTTGTGAGAAATGTAACAAAAATCGGTGAGGAGGAGAAAAGTGAACAAGGACTGATCACCAAAAGGCATTAGGCATCTGCTATATGGAAATATCTGGGATTCCACAGAGTCGATATTGAGGAAAAACAAGTGATCTGTTGACACAACTCGATGCAGCACCACCAAGTTATTTGGTGGACGATAAATTCTGTTTGGCTATAGTTTATTCTGGGTACGTATTCTGGGAACTCCTTTTTTGCCTCATAAATACAGCAATCTTTACCAGAAAACGTCTGAGATACTTTACCAGAAAAAAAGAATCACATTGCGAAGATTTGAAAGTTTTCTAGTATCGTGCTGCCTTAAAAATGCACGCTAGCCTAAATCATCGCTATGTTTAATAAAGGAAGGACAGGTCATCATGAACGCAAACGAAAAGCTCCAACGGGGAAGATCACAGCACGTCAAATATGGGCTTCAGTGGACGCTGACCCTGCAATTACCCTAAAGACAGGTCTGGACAGTCCCCATGCTACTCATTAAAGCGCTGCTTGGTAATGTGTATGGCACAAAACTTTCAGAATCAGGGTGAGGTTAGGAATGCATTTCATTCCAGAAAGACAAACACCATTTAAACCACACATTTGTTCTTTGACCACAAACAGTCAGTGCCCTACAATATTAAATAAACATACTCCTAATTCCAAAGATGCTGAAGCAGCATGCTCTACTCACCAGCTGCTGCCTACGATCTTCTGAATACTCGCAAGCTTTTTATTTCTTAAACACCTGCTGGGGACCCTGAAGTGACTATTTATGTCAGGCTAAGCGAACAACAGACCCGCTGCCAAAGACGAGCACTCACCCACAGCAAGGCACGTGGTAATGCTTGTGAACTGGGCCAGTTGGCGGGCCACCGTGTGTACCTGGATGCCCAGCTCACGGGTCGGCACCAGAACCAGGACGCGGGTGACCTGGACCTGCCGGGGCTTGTAAATGAGTCGCTCCAGGACGGGCAGCATAAAGGCAGCAGTCTTGCCTGGGTTGGGATGGACACATTGGTGGAACCACGGTACTATTTCCCATAAGTCCAAGCAGCCAAAGACGTCCCTCTTTATCCAGTTAACAGCAGCCTTTCTGCTACAGAAAATCTGTCTTCAGATGCTTGATTTTCACTGGAAGCGCTTGATTTTCCCTCCCCTGCTTCAGCCTCCCCACTTTAATGTTTCTTAACACAGATATTCAGAGTAAAAAAGTTCTTACAGATTCCCAGCTTATCATGAATGGCGGTATACACAGAATGATCAGATCACAGATGACTGTCTCTCTCTCCTCTCCCCCGTCAGCGTACAGGGGGCCGCAGCCTCTCACCTGTGCCGGTAGCTGCACATGCACAGAGGTCCCTGCCAAGCAGCCCCACGGGGACGCAGGCCTTCTGGATGGGGGTGGGCTGCTTGAAGCCCATCGTCGCGATTGCCTGCGAGAAGCGAAAACGCAAGATCAGCTCGGGGACAGAAAGGGGGCGGAAGAGAAACATTAAACTCCCACGTCACCCCTGTACAACCTTCATCAGCGGCCGGGACAGATTCATGTCCTCGAATGTGAGGTTCTCATTGAAGTTTGAGGCATCTTCATAAAAGGCTTCCAGTGTCTGTATACCAGGAGCAGTCGGCGACAAAGAGGACAGCCGGAAGGGAGTTTATTAATCACAATTAATATTTTAACCACAATAAGTGGAAAATGAAGACAAATCAATTCTAACATACTCGACAGGGCAAAGGTAATCCTTCGTTTGGTGTACGAGTTATTTCTATGCGAGAGTTAGACAACATTATTTAATGTAAAATACGCAGAAACTGCTCAGAAACGGCTGGAAGGTTAAAGTGCTCGTGTGACCTGAGCACCACAATGCTTTGCAAAGCCAGGGGATTATTTAAACGCTCACTCTGCATCTTGTCTAAAAGGGGCACATGTCTGTTCTTGTACAAAGTCTCTGCAACTCACCTCTCCTGCATCCTGTTTCTTCTTGACTCTCCTGCCTTTTTCTCTCAGCGTATCTGCAGCCGGAACATGACGCTGCATCAGTACAGAATCAAAACTCCATTCAATCTAAAGCCTCACCCACTGATTCCGCTCTCACCTGATTTGGTGAGGACCTCTTCATCTGCGGAGCCTAAACCATCCAGGCCATCATCATCGTCGTCGTCGTCGTCTGACTCTCCACTGCCACTACCAGCCCCCTCATCGTCTTCCTCATCCTCTTCCACTTCGTCTTTCACCTCTGGTTTTGCATCTTCATCGCCTCCAGCTTCTAACTCCTGATTTTCAGCTTCTTCCTTATCGCTCGTCTTCACTTCCTTCAGCGCTCTCTCCTGCGGCGAGTTCCAAACACCCACTTCTTCACTGGCTAATTCCCCGAAAACACAGACTAAAATAGCTACAGCAGTGTGGAATTAACATCCCTATCTCACCATGATACATCACAGGCATAAACTTGGTAGGCATTCTACATCACCCGCAACATCATGATCATTTTACAGTCCAGTTGGAGACCTCACCTCAGTTCTTCGCTTTTTGCGGACTTTTTCAATCTTCTCATCCAAGGTGGTGGCAGCTTTCTTTAACAAAAAAAATAAAAAGTACTTGAAGAAATTGTCATCATCACAGAGCACATATATAGACTGAAAGACTATTAACCAAAACCATGTAAACTTTCTTATCAAGGTAGTTGTTTAAGAAAATGGCAACAATCTACATGGCATTAGGATAAAAGGATTGAATAAATGTTTTAAACAGTGCATTGTCAGTGATCAGAACTTCACCCTTTTCTTTAGCTGTGCCAAGACATCTGCCATAGCCCAGTCCTCGCTGTACAGCCCATCGCGCTCCCCAAACTCAAAGCCCGTCGCAAAGTCACCGGCGCCACGCCGCTTCAGCTGTTTCTGCTTCCGTCCCAAAATGATGGGCTGCTCCTGAGAAGGAAGAGACAATTCTCATTTTGCACTGGGGTTTCAGATATGCAGATATATTAGTTATTTTCCATGGGAGAGGACAACCAAGAATGCAACACGAGTGTAGCACTCAATGAGAGAGCAGGAGCAACATTTTTATATCTGAAGTTACATTAAACTTTAACATGATTATTTACATAAGGTAAGCAAAGAAGTATTAAGGGGGTTAGGCTGTCATCACGCTACCAGAGGTGAAATAGTTTCAAAAATACATACAAGCTCTGGAAATGACACACACCATGCGTGAACACAAGTTTGTCTGACTGCATAGCTTTGGACTTCGGGAGGCAACCCAAACAACACAGGGAGAGCATGCAAACTCCACAATGGGATTTGAAACAGCAATCTTAGAGGTGTGAGGCTAGCGCTGAACCACTTTGTCACTCTAGTCAAAAACATACCATCTTTTAAGGACGTCTTAAACACCCAAATTAGTTTGTTGGCAACAGTCCCATGCTATCACACAAATTAATTAATATTACAGTTACGTGACTTAATTGCCTACAGTACAATTGTAACGGACTGGAATCACATCCAGGTTGTCCCCCTGCCTTTTGCTCCATTCTGCCAGTGATAGGATCTAACCTCATCCTTTTCAGTGGCTGTATATACGGATATTTTACTTTACAACTTCCATAACGTCGCAGTGATGTTCAACAGACACACTTTAATTCACAACACACACGGCTGATCGCCACATGGCAGGTCAACCGACACCAGGCACCAGAATGAGAACATCTTGTTTAATTTGAGTAATAAAATGTATTTTCCAACCGTTAATAACATCAAATACCTAGCTGAAAGTGGTTAAAAACAATTGGTCAGATATGGAAAATACATCACTGAAACACAGAAGTAACGACCGAGATTTCTTTATAGACGTCAACCATCTTATTGTCTAGCAGAGTAAAACAATCCAATAACAGTATATAACTTAAAGTCGAAGTTCAATAACTGTTAATTAAAGTTTCAATTCAATGAATTAACCATTGCATGACTCACGGATTCATCTTCAGACGCAGAATCGTCTTCTTCGGGGACATCATCGTCTTCTTGAATGGTCCCGATTAGATCCAAATCGGACAACATACTTCCGTATGTAAAGTCGCTTAAAATAATTTTACCTAAGAACTTTAAACGATTTCCAGTGACAACGGAATAGTAATGGTATGAAGGAATATAGTACTATCAAATCGGACTCATACTTCGTTACTAAATGTGTTAGACTGGAGGAATATTGCTGATCGGACACTCCTCCTCCATTCGACACACGTGTCTGATACACCGGAAATCCGACCTACTTACTGTTCCGCCGCTGCTCACTGTAAAACTAACGTTCCGGGCCCGAATTTATCTACTCTTTCTGCAAAACGGATTGGTGGTTCCGAGGCTAGGGAGCTGTCCCAGCAATCGGAAGGTTGCTGTTTCAAATCCCGTGAATGCCATGTGAGTGATCCTACTTAGGTGGCTCCTTGAGTAAGACCCTTAGCCTGCAATTGCTATGGCATGGTGCTAATTTACATCCAGCCTTGTGAGGTCCTCCAACTCACAGGGAAACCTGGGGCTTCGTGGCAGGATTGGCACTCTAGCCACTGGGGGGAAAAAAACCTCACACTGGTTCATTTGGGCTAATGTGGTGTTAAGGTATCACCCACTGCATTCGGGTTCTCCTCCCTGCAGTGGTGTGGCAGGTGCTGTACAGTTCACACTCTTACCTCCTCTTGTGCAAAATTCATCATACGAAATGCTGGTTAGTTGGACTATGCGCTCTTAAATCCTTCAGGTACACTTGATTGATTCATATAAAAGGAGTTAAATTTAAGAAAAGCAGGCCTACTTGCACACAGTGAAGGATCAAGAACAAAAATGCTTAAGTGCTTCATGCAGAAACATTTGAGTAGAACTTATTTAAACCTAGATGGTATTCAACTTTTACAAAAAAAGGATGCTGCATTCAGAAGGATGTTACTAAATAAATTTTATTTCCACTTCACCTGCATTGTGTGTCAAAACACCTTAGAATGCAAGGCGATACGAGGCTCCACAGGTCAGGGTGTAGAGCACTTGTCTTGTAATCATTCGAGATTGCCCCCCTTGGATAACATTCACCATATTTAGCCTTAAGAATACACCCCAGAAAATCCTGAGTGTCTAATTACTATTCATATACACAATACAGTAGTTACATGACAGATGTAATGAGTAGTATGGCTCACAAATGCCAGTTAAGCTTTAGATGACCTGTAATATGAACTGCAGGAGTTGAGAAAACCATGCACGTAACTTCAGACACAAGTATTGTCCAAAAGACATTTATTTAAAAAATAAAAAACAGAACTATACAACAGCTTGATGTGACAAGCCAAATTCCAATGTGTTCTGGTCACAAACTTCACACAGGGGCAAGGGGGGTCACTCAGGGCCTGGGGGGGCGCATCCCAGGGGGAGGAGGACCTGCCAAAGGTGAGGGGGAGGAGAGAAAAAAACAGACATTATAAAAAAACGTGAGTGTAGATTCATAAGTGGTCCATCAACACTTCCCAAAGCTCACCTCTCATACCAGGGGGTGGTGGCCTCATTCCTGGGGGGGGCATTCCCATGGGGGCACCACGGCCAGGGGGCATTCCCATCGGTGGACCCATCGGGGGCCGCATGCCTGGAGGGGGGCCCATCATACCTAAAAAAATAAAGAACATCCAAATCAGCACAGTATAGGAATTCCTAGCGAATATTAGACCAACACACTACATAAAGTTTGCCTTATAAGACAAATTTTACAGTTATGAATGGGGCTTAAATGTCTGGTTGGACGTGGTTCAGAGCTCAGAGTAATCCTGCTTCAAAAAGGCTCAGCATCAGGCTCAGCTTAAATGACATTTCATCACTGCTGTAGAACCACCACACTCAGTTGATCTTCACACAGCATTATGAACAGACCTGGAGGGGGCGCTCCTCTGCCCATGGGTGGTGGAGGCCCTCCCCTGCCTTGTGGGTACTGTGTAGGTGCGGCAGCAATGCTGGCCCCAGCGGCTGCAGCCGCTACAGTTCCCCTGCCCTGGGGTGTCATCACCTGCAAGTCATAATGGCAGATAGGTAGTTTAGACTCTCAAACTCACCCAAGGATCTTCATGGTGGATCCTTCCATTTCACTGCTATTACCCACTTTATTTTAAAGGGGTAACACCTGCTTAAGAACCACCAAGACTAGTTCCTAGACAAGATGCACAAACACACTCTTCACCTGCTGCGAAGGACCTCCAACTCCTCTGACAGGCCCAGCCAGCCCCGCAGGCGCCTGAGCCATAGGAGCCCCAGCAGGGACGCCTCTGCCTGCCGCCCGGCCCACGCCTGGTCCTCCTGCCACACCAGCCAGAGGCACTCTAGCGATGCCAGTCTGCAAATGGAACACCAGTCGTCTTCATCACAAAAGCCAAACACACTTGGGTCTATATTCAGTTGCAGATTGAGTTAAGGGCATCTACTCTAGGTTTCAAGAAGCTCACGTTAAACACTTTTCCCCTTTAACCGAACTACAAGCACTTACATCTTTAGGTGGGGGACCCTCAACAGTCATTGACACCAAATTTTCCCCTCTAAGAAGCACCAGGCCAAGAACTCGCTTCTCCTCACGCTCTGGCTGCTTTGAGTTTTTCGGCCTGCCGAGAGGGGAGAAAGATTTTATTAAAGCAGATTCAATTCACGAGTCAACTGACACTACACACGAGGCCTGGGCAGGTTTCTGTAGAAGGCCAAATCACAGCTTCACAATGCCAGCAGGGACCATTTTTATGATCGTCATGCCCCATGAAAGCTACAACAGAAGACTATTCTAAGATTATTCATAGGAGCTAAAACCTGGGTCTGGGACAGACCTAAAATTATCAGGCAGTGCATGGCTATCAGGTCCACCATGCTATAGGTCAGGGCGCTACGCTAGTGATCGGAAAGTCACTGGTTCAAACCCGAGGGTTGACAGTGTGGAGATATTAAGGGATAAATCCTTGGATATTTGCACAACTACAGGTATATTGAAATGCTTCTGTTCACCTACCCCATCCTGCTCCCCATAGCATGGGGGGACACAGTGCAGGGTCAACACCCCTGGAGCTGGAGGTTAAGGGCCTCGCTCAAAGGCCCACAAACATGTGACTATTCTGGTGAGGCCAGGGCTCAAACCGGTGATCTTCAGACCATGGGCACAGAGACCTAGCCTGCTGAGCCATTTACCACTGATCTTGCTGTTGGGCCCTTGCACAAGACAGCTACCCTCCCTAACTGCCCCAGAGAATGTCTGACCCTGTCTTTATCAGCAAGTCCCTAGCTCCAGTGGACCAGCCTGTGCCCAGGTAAAGCATCCACACCAGAGCCACACACACACACACACACACAATAGGGAGGTTACCACTCAAAGTCAAACCTGCAGTTTCCTCATAAGACTTGATACTTAATCACTAAGTCAAATATTGTCAGTCAAGCAGGAAGTTAATACACAGACATCTTACTTGATCTTCCTGAACTCATCGCAATCGCACAAGATGAGATTCATGTGTTTGTCGAAGGCCTTGAAGGTTCCGATGAATATGCGGCCATCCTGCAGGATACAGCGCATCCTGTAGTCGATGTGCTGCAGCATCTTGCTGCTTTTCCCCACCGTCTACAAAAAGAAGTCAATATTAAACAATGAATGCACCAGTTCGCACCTGTACTCGAAACAAATGTGGTACATAACGAACTACGCTCGTTAAAAGTGGTTCAATGAATGGACGAAACAATTGGTCAAGATGCATGCAAAATTACAAAAATCAATAGCCAGATAAACGATAATAAGCAAGCGTGTACATTATTTGACATGAACGTTTCTTCTCCAGTACCATTGAGCCATTGAGCGTAGCGTCTTGCTAGAGAGCGGCAATCACAATTAGCCAGCTACAATGGAGTTGCTGGCTGAATCTTGACGTTTAAAATAAAGCCCTCAAAAATACACATATACAAACCATTATCTTATGAATTTTTAAACTGCAGAGAGCAATAACCTATATCCAATTGTGGAAACAATTCAGCTAAAGGCCTACGCGGAAAGGCCTTCGTCATCGTCGAATTAAACGAAAGAATAAAGACTGAACGACAAAGTAGACGAAAAATGAACATCGGCCTCAACGGATAAGATTACACGCAAACACAACTTAAAGCACTCACCATGGCTGCGGTTCTGATGGCTCCGATACTAGTCGGATCACACCAAACAGAATCTTTAAAAAATTGACCCGCGGGCTTCCAATTTAAGCGCCGCCAGGACCGCCTGTGAGCTACACTAACCGGAAGTGAGGTGTGTCATGCTATTTCGTCCTCGAGACATAAGTGCCTCATATTTGTAAATCATATTAGTTTATTATTAGCGAAAGGAGTGTTATACATATATTTTACGTATGTCGTTGCTATACCTATAATGATTATTTCTAGGAAATTGCTACTACAAATAAATAGGTCATTACGTATATTTTATAATTAATACCTAGAGGAATTATATAATGTAACACAGGAAGTCCGAAGAGGGCCTTAAAGAAACTTCCGCTTCGTTTTTCGTGCGTATGTGCCAGTGGGCGGAGTAGCATACGTAGAAAATTAAACAATATGTGAAATATTAATTTAAATATTCTCAAAGGTCTTGGGCACATATAACATTTTCTGTCATTGTTGTTCTTAACAGTGGTGGCACAGGAGTGCTATCTGAATATAGAACCTAGCAGGAAAATCATTCATTTAGGTCGATGTTCTGCTTCTGATGACTGGTTTTTAGTTTGTCTTTATAACGTCTTTGCTAACCACAGGTAAATGTGTGCCGACATGTACCTGAACAATTTGTATAAAGGCGGCGATAAAAGACTAAAAGTAATTAATTTTATTTTATAAGTCACGCTTGTTCTCAGGAACCGCTTTATATTTTTTCAAGATATAAGTACAGTAATTGAACAGATAAATAGGTGAGATACACAAAGAAACATATAGCCGTATTTTTTAAAAATGCCAAGATTGGCTACTCATCATAGAGACCGTAAAGTCATCAGGCATGATTAATGGTTTGGTAAAAACAGCATTTAAAGTTTTCCTCGGCTCCCACATAAGCAGGTTTCTATGTGAACGAGTTGTTTCGCTACTTTAAGTGGCATGAAATATAGCCACAATGCTTCACATCCCTTTTCAAATACTAATGTAATGAATTATAATGAATAGTTTGTTTAAAAATATATAGAAACATAAGGAGTGGTTAAAATGCAACTTCTAATACCTAGATTCTGGAATAGTCTGTGAATTGCTCTTAAGAAATTATAGATACTTTGCTTATATATATTCTAAATAATTGCTAAATGGTACTCAAAAGTGTATTGTCAGTTAGATTCCATTTAATTATTAAATTATTCTTTTTTTAGATAAAATGATTAACGGAAAGGGTCAAATGAGTAATGTATGCCGCAATGTACTTTATTGACAGCGGGTACAGATGCATTGTCAGCTAAATAATACCATATCTGTTAAAATAACACAGAAAAGGTTTTTCTCATCTTTGTTAGGGGTGGAATATTAGTTCATAATATTACAAGACTTAATGTCAGTACTGTTTTATTAATTGTATTAAAATAAGATCTTATTCCCAACAACTGCAAAATAGTACTGCATGTCGTCTTTCCTAGGTGCTTTTAAATGTATATCATAATATTATCTTGCTGGAACAACAACTTTGGTGGAGAGTCAGTGGCAAGACACAGTGATGAATATTACCCTTCAAAATGCAGAGATAATATTTAGATTTCAATATGCCATTGTACACATTTTCAAGGCCTTCATTACGAGAAGCAGCAAATATGGGACCTCTAGTGTGTTTGAGTGATGGGGGGCGTGGTTGTTTCTTGGAAGTCCCCATTTTCTCATCCATAAAAATAGGTGATTTGTATTTTCAGGAATCTATACTTTTTACTTGATCCACAGCACGTTACCCATTAAAAATGAAAGACTTTAATAATCCCTGATTATTAAATAAATTCCACATGATGCTTTTGTAGCTCCCTCTCAGCACTGGGGTCCTTTTAGGTCTTGTAATCCTCTTTGGTTTACAGCACAGGTTGAAGGCATCATTCCATATCAAGTTATGGTTCATGACTATTTGATTTCTAACATCCATGGATAGCCCGTTTGTCTTAAAATTTTCAGGTTGGAGAACAATTACAGCCATTATGTCACTGACGAACTACAGTACATGTGAATGTGAATATTTACTTATCAATTACCTGCTTAAAGTAAGTGAAGTGAAATATGAATCGGATGCTTCTAATTAAAATCAGTTGGATTCTTGTGAATTTTGCACATGGAATTTTGGTTTTCTATACATAATGCTAAGCTTTGTAGTGTTTTTTTTATTATTTGACTAAAAGGGAGGATGGAATGTTGGCTTTATGACTCTGTATACCTAAGCACATTCTTAATCATAATGTCTAAAAAGGGGGACATTTAAGGGTAGTATTCATAGCCATGTTAGAAGCTATACTTTGTAGAGGAATCAATGTCAGACTTGTGGCTATTCGGAGGTCAGCATAACAGCCACCTCAGGTAGGGGAAAAAAATAAACAAACTGCAAAATATATGCTTCAAAGTAATGAATTTAAGGGTGAATTTAAGGGTTCACAGACAAGGGTGAAGTTTATTTCACTTGTTATTTGTGTGTGTGTGTGTACCTCTGCACAGAAATGTGCACACATTGATGTGAGGAATTAAAAAAAAAATCTGCTCTTTTTTGGGGTAATTTGCAGTTACATTATCAATGCTTTGCATACGTTGAAATTTACTTTGTGACTGTGGGCCGGGGCTTATAACGCAGTGGATAAAAATCAGTTACAGGATAAGCAAGTTGAATTATTTATGTCTGTTTTCGAATAAGTAAACCTGTCAGTATATATTAACATCTTCACAATATATAACAATGTTTGTGTTTTACATGGATGCGTATGAAAAAATGACCATTGGTGTCATTTTTTAAATGACACACTGAAAAGGAAGGATATATTTAACCATAGCTTGTAGGCCATTGCATATTGTCGGTCAAGTCTTTTTGGTCGCAGCTTGAAATCAGCGTTGCCACAGCAACCGGCAAAGAAGAATCAGTGCGGATACTGATGCTAGCGCATTGAGAGGGATGCAGCCCGGAGATGGGACTTCATGATCGGCAGTGACTCACCAACTATAAGCAACAGAAATCCGATGAGGGGAAATTAACCTGGGCGATGTCGAATCTTTGCTGAACGATACTGACGGCTCCGGAGCTTTTTCTTTTTTGAAACCAAAGACTATAAGGTAAGTGCCACTGACTGATCTGCACGTCCTTTGCTGGGTACTGGTATGCTGGGCAGTTCCTAACTATCCGCGTATTTCCAGTGCAGATCGCAATCCCATCCAGCAGATCCGCTCGATTACAAAACACTAAAAATATATTTAGATGACCTTAGAAAGATATGTATATATATACAATAAAATCTGAAATGTTAATTTCGTTTTTTAAAGGGAAGTTAATTTGAATAATTGCTTGCATCAAAACCCCGCAAATTTAGGTCCCTGCAATCGCATAAAAGTGGTAGAAAAAAAGGTCTTTACTGAGATGTAACTAATGCAACAGGGAGGACATGTGGATATTTGTTATAATGAATTGTTAGAATAACAGTATTTATCGTCTATCATGCGAACGTGTTTTAACCTACATGCCTGTTACTCAGACCAGCAAAATTTGTGAATTAATTCTGATAGGACATTGCACTGTTTACCAACAAATATGTGATGTGGAGTCCATTTTGAATGGATTATTCAGTATATAAGTGTGAATTTGGGAAGTGCAAGTTTAATTTGGGAAAGTGGAATTTTATAACAGCATTTGTTTATATGAGAGCAAATAAAATTTCCGCGTCGAGTGGTCCAGTTAACATTTTGCTGTATTTTGCTAAACCAAACTCATTTATATAATGTAAAAATATCTGTATCTACGTCAGTTATATGATGTTTCGATTTTTATTAACTTAAGTTTTATTGGTTTCCGTTGGTTAAAATGCAGTCAGGTGGATGCGATGGGGGTAAGGGGTAGGATTGTGCATACTGGTGGGGTTGATGGATGGGTGCTTGATCTCGAATGCTGGTCAAGATAGTGTTCAGCTGGCTACGAAGGTATTTTTACATTTTTACCCACAGGGAAAACCAAAAATATTATGTTTGAGACCTTTAATTAATCCTTTAATTAATGTGCGTATTCATTCATTCATTCATTCATTCATTCATTCATTTGACATCCATGTTTATGCTTCAGTGAAGTTGGCTTAGGGATTTAACTGTGAAGGATGGGTGTCCGAGATTTCAGCAAACCGAGTATTCTGTCAAATGTGAACATTTTCCATAGTCAAGAACTACTTTATCACAGATTTTACAAACTTTGATTTATTTCTGTAATTATATTATCTGTTCTAGAGGGTCATAGTTATCTGCCTATTATAGTAACAGCACAAGTTGTTTTAGGTGTGGCATTTGTTTGGGTTTTGATAAACTGCTTTGAAAAAGCAAATGTTGTGTTCATAATAGTGTGGTATTGTGATTTATTAAGGTACTTATTTTGGCTTTATATAGTTATTATAATGGTCATCCTGTTTTGTGAGTGATTTCCTGTCTATTCTCATGATGAGCTCACACCCACTATTGCCACAGTCTACATACTCTGACCTTCTTGCTGATTCTGTGGTCGTCTTACAGTCAACATGAATTAGTAACACTGTTCTGTACATTGGGTGTATCATTGGATCAACAACTTAGATAGAATTTAACAGTGGTCAAGGGGAAAATAATAGATGGTCCATAGTTGGGGGCATGGGGGGGTACTTTTCAAGTCAACCGACACCATTTCAGTCCAATATTTTATACTCTTTCCCCCACATTAATATTAACTAATGCTATCTTTAGACTGAGCTTTAACAAAAAATACTACTTTCGGGGCCTATTAACATGAAGATTTAGGGAAAAGAATTTTAATTAAATAAATATGGAATTGAACCACTAATTCTAGACAACATTGTGATTACATATATATGGTTACACAGTAAATAGGCTTTGGATATTGGGAAGAGACCAGATGCCCTGTAAAATGCCTGGCCTTTCCAGGCAAGATAGTGATTTATGTAAATAACTTATAAGCAAGGACACCCACACAAACACTGCTTAACATTTATGTAAATCTGTATTTTGAACAGTGTTGCACTGTTCATATTTTCATATCCAACAAACGAGGAAAAATATGGCTTTCTTGGAAGGCTTTGATGCTGCGATCAGATATTGTCAACCTTGTCCCCTTCTGAATAATAAATATTCAGATACCCTGAACAGCTCAGTGTATCAGAAAAAAAACAATAGATGACATTGTGTCATCTTCCAGCTGCTTTTCCTGGTCAGGTAGATGCATTCATATGCCACTTTCAAAACTACTAGCAATATTTATAATAAGTCACTAATCATTCTGTTGATTTTTAAAATTAAAACCTCTACCTAGCTAAATTTTGTCATTGTCCCTTCATTTCCGATTAGGATTTGGGTGAAATGTTAAGCAGCTTAAATTATTACCATACAAAATGCTGTTGTCTAAGCTGTAATGACAATTATTTACCATGTTTCATAGTCCAAGATGAAAGCATATGCCTTCGTAGGCAGCACCTCCAACTGCTGATTGGTATTTCATTAAGCCATGGTGCCTACGTATGCATTATTGGCCATTCCTGCCTTATTCAACCAAGCCTGCTCTGGGGTTTCATTCAAATCAACTACCTTTTTGACGTTTTTTTTTTTTTCCCATTCGAATTTGTAGTCTGGTTTAGGCAACGAATGTGATGATGTCACTTTGCACCAGCAGAAGAGGAGACACTGGAAGTGGGTGTTTGTCCTTGGCAGTGGTCTGAGGCACAGATGGTGTTTGCCTGTTTATCTTCTACCATGCTGGCCTCCCTGCCAACTTCTACAGAGTATTGCATGATGCTGGGAACAAATACACCAAAATGGGGCCATATACCAAGAAGCAATAACAAAAATAAAAATGGGTTTTATCTGTTCCTTTGGATCATGCAGTAGATATGGAATTCTAGCTGGCAGGAGTAATAGGATCGGCTGCGTGTAACATAAAGATTGCATGTGATATGAGAATGTACAGTATTTCTTTACTTTCTTCTGTAGAATCTATACTTAACCCTGGTTTTCCACTGTTACAATGGTTTCTATGATGATTTAAAGGCTTGTAGGATGATTTCAGGTTCTGACTTGATTTTTATGTTTATTTTTGGTGGAGTTCCTGTTCATTTTTCTCCTGAACTCTCTTAACATTTCTATCTGATCATTTTGATAACTTAAGAGACTTTGTGTTGTAGTTTCCATCCACCCATTCTCTGTAACTGCTTGTCCTATTCAGGGTTGCGTGGGGTCTGGAGCCTATTCCGGAGGCTTTGGGCATGCAAGGCAGGGAACAACCCAAGTTGGGGTGCCAACCCATCACAGGGCACACACACCATTCACTCACACATGCACACCGATGGGCAATTTGGGAACTCCAATTTATCTTAGCATGTTTTTGGACTGTGGCGGAAACTGGAGTACCCAGAAGAAACCCCACAATGACATGGGGAGAACCCTGGTGGAGACACAAAACCCAGGTCCCAGAGGTGTTGACCACTGCACCATTGTGCTACCCTTGTGTTGTAGCTTAATTAGGAAAACGACTTCTCTGGTCTCTGTACCATAGGCGCACTTTGCATGGCATAACTTCAGATGAGACTGTCACAAATCTAGATCATGGCTTCCTGTCATTTGTTATAAAAGGTGTTTTATAGTGGAAATAAATTATAACTTGTCCCATTGTTCAGTGTTACTATTTGTTAATATTAGATAGCTTTAGATAATCAGTAGTCTAGATTTTTTTCCTCTTAATCTGTCTAAACACTTACCTTTTTCGTTTATCTTCCAGTCACTTATCTTGGACCCCTTAGCAGGCAGTCCCTGGATGGGATGCCAGTCCATCAATGGACACCAACACTAAGGTCAATTTAGGGACCATGCCTTTGGATTTGAATCCCATCCTTGTGTGCCCAGTGTGAGGTGTGCATTCCTACACATTCATTTTTGTTCATCATAACTAACTTTAACAATCAAAGATAGTTAAGCTTATTCAAGGTAAACATCCTAAAGGTTATTAATATGACTGTGAGCCTATTCTGGATAAGCATGGGAAATGGACCGATGGGTTTTGAACAACATATGTGTACTTTTCCTGTAACGAAAACGATATGCCTGTTGTACAGTGACACCCAAAAAGATAGAATATAACATTACAAAACATGTTCAACGTATTACATATTGCGAGGGGAAAAAAAGCTGTTTCACCTTTAAGACGCATTAATGTTAATTTTAGCTGAACCCCCCCCGGCTAAGTGAAATCTTAATATCTTCGTATGTTTCTTTTTTCTGTCCACCTTCCTCCCGATCTCCTCGTAATCATTAGAAACAGGAGGGAGTGATATGCCTTCAGAAGCCACAGCTATCGAGGGTAGTATTATATAAAGCTAGCCGCTCATCCTCCAGCGATCGGGGCTCTCTATTTATAGACGTGGCGGAGATTTTGTACAGCCTGTGCACAGAGAAGAAGAGAAAGTTGCATAATAGGGGCACATTGAAAACGGAAGTAAGGCTGTGAGCTAGTATGCTGGAAAAGACTCGCGGCTGCCACACTGACTTAACCCACAGCATCTCTGCTCAGCCGAGGAAGCTGGACGCGTCATATGTGAAATATCATCACATTTCCATTTGGAATGATGATTGCACTTCATTTACAATAGTGCTACATTGTCTGCACAGCATTTTGTTTATTTCATTTTAAATGTATTATGTTTAATTTTATTACAGATTTCCGTTTACATATTTATTGTCTGTTTTTGCTTACATTATCCTTTGGTATATTTATTTCTTTTTCTGTGCTACTGGACAGAGAAATTTCTTCACCGGGATCAATAAAGTTGTATCCCATCTTTAAGGTGACTACTTTCCTTCCTGTTATGGAAATCTAAACAGCGTTCTTCCCTATAAATGGTATTTATGCCGGATAATCTGGCTTTCTTTACTGTACGATGGAGATTGAATAAATAAATAGAATTGTTGTCAGAAAGACTAAAAACTCTGTTTTCCCCGTTCTATATGCATATCTAATAGTTCTAATCACTGTTAAAGCAGGGCAGTCAAAATAATGTTTAATCAGGTGGATTGATGCGTAGAAGAAATAAAAACTGCCTCAGCGTAGTTATGATATACATCAGATGTATATAAAAATTATTTAAAAAATGTTCATATTTAGAGTATTACTACTGGACATTTATTCAGGTTTAATTATCATGAATGAATACTGGTTTTCTGCAACTTAGTGCGTTTCTCTCGTTTTAATGCAGAAAAACGGGCCAGCTCGCTCCCTGCCATCTGCGGACGCTGTTGTAGCTTTTTGGTCCTCGGAGCGACTGCAATTCATCAGGAAATACGCTGCCAGAAACTGGCCCTTTCGGCTGGAGCACGAGCCTTGTGGAAGTTCAAAATGAAGGAAGAAGTCTTCGTCTTCATATTTCAGTAGATGGGTGCAGATCTCCAGTTCAAAATACATCTTTGCCTTTCCAGAATTTTGAATTAAACCTAAAGGATTTTTACGTATCTTGTCGACAGACTTTTTTTTTTATCATATGGAAAGACCTTAAAGGTCAATAGTGGCAAATGCCAGTTATGAGTTTGTCAAAGTTTAAGCAACTGACCAAAGCAAGCATGCTGGAAGAAGGTTCCAGGTTTACTGTGGGATGAGTCTCTGTATATGGGGCAGCAGGCTTTTGGGTAGGAAACCCTCCAGCTTCTGTTCCCGTCATCATTAACACCCCACAGAGAACCGTTCAATTCATTTGCCCTGCAAAAGCAGCGTGTATACCAGCAACAACTGTGCTTTCAGGTTCATTTGATGAAGACTTGGAAAACCAGGAAAAAAAATCTCAAATCAGGGCAAGCTACTTAAACATGCTATTTTTAGTTAGTATAGCTTAGTTTAATGCAACTTCCTACGGTGCTCATGCCATCACTTTGGCCCCAAAATTAAACTGTGCTTTAATGCTGTGAGCTAAAAACATAAGCATTACTAAAGCTTGAGACACATCAGAAAGGACTACTGACGTGGTAATTCGGCGCCAGACAGCAGAGCCCATAGCTTACCTGTTTGTGACTGTCTCCCCCAGTCTAGCTGGACCATCAATCGAGATGAGCCAGAAGCTAGATTTGGAGACAGAGGGCACCCAGCCCTTAGTTTACTCCCTTGAGGAGCTTGAGTGCAAGATCTGCTACAACCGCTACGACGTCCGAGCACGCAAGCCCAAGGTGCTCAGCTGCCTACACCGCGTTTGCGCCAAATGCCTGAAGAAGATCGTGGAGATGGGTGACTCGTCACCCAGCATCATAAGCTGCCCCTTTTGCCGCCATGAGACTCCCGTGCCTGAGGAGGAAATCTGGCTCCTGCAGGATGACAGCAACATCCTTGCCCTGCTGGCATACCAAGACCGAACCAGGAAGAGCGGTTCTGTAGTCCCTGGTGAGGTCGTGCTGACGCCCAACGGCCTGAGCAGCGAGGGCTGCACCGGCGGGGACCAGTCACACAGCTCCTCGGACTGCCTGGTGATCACCATCATGGAGGTACCGGGGGAGTCGCAGTCCTCGGAGACGATGAGCATGCTGAACATGGTGCGCCTCTACCGTCCACCCAGCCTGGACTCGCTGCCCTGCCACCTACCTGTGCAGAAGTGCCGGATGTGGACGTCGCACGCCTTCCCTCGCTTCCTGATAGGTGTCCTCTGCCTCATCTACTTCAGCTCCCTCCCCCTGGGCATCTATCTACTGATGATTCAGCAGCTCTCCCTGGGCGTCATCCTCGTCAGCCTGGTGCCCTCCACTCTAGTTCTCTGCGTCTTCTACGGCTTCTGCCAGTGCCTATGTCACGAAATAATGGAGTCGATTTCCACATAATCCTCCTACACGCGTGTAAATCCAGTGATGTAACTGGCCTTGCTGGAAAGAAATATGTACCATCACTGACTCTCCTTCTCATCCTCCTATCCTGTCCTGGTTCTTCCTTTACCAGTACTAGTAGACAATTTATCTATCTATGTGGCTGGTTGGCAGGAACCCCTAAAAGATGCATGATTATTTGTGGCCCTTCTGTAATTACTTCTTAAATTCTCACCCTTCATGCAATCCAGTTGTTATGAAATCCTATTTGTTTGTTTGTTTTTTGTTTGGTGGGATCGAGGTTTCAGTCAAGGTTTATTCTTAGTGAGAAACTAAGACCATATATACATAACTCAGGCTGTATCAAATTGCTGAAATTTGTAGCCAAACTCCTCACTAAATAGGCTTCAGATATAACTGTGATCACTTTACTGTGTTACGAATGAAGACTGAAAATGCACATCTACAGTTCCCGTTTCATACAGTGGAAAGTAGCTTAGTAGAACTCTTGTCTGGACTTACAGAAACTTACAGTAGATCATGCTAAACTCAAGCATACACACACTGACATACACATATACCTGTTCTATTTATTTTTCTTTTAAAGGTTTACTATTGTAAAGTATATGTGACCCAGATGCAACTTTTGGAACTAGATCAGACCAGAAATCCGTCAAAACTGTTAACGAGATTTCAATAAATATTCATTACGCATCATGCATTTGGACTCGTTTCCCTGTATATCACCCACCTGCAGATCTATCATTTCAAAGCATTCTTCGATCCAAACCGTACTCAGAATCAGAAGCTGATTAATGCCTAGGTAGGCCATATCCTAGGACCAAAACTGATTTCCCAAAACTGCATTAGCAACTTCCAGAGTTGGAATCATGCAACTGAATGGGCTCGACCATCCAAGTTAAATTGGCAGCCCATTGTCCATTCTGATGTCGGCCTAGGGCCCCTAGAGAGGTCAGTCCACCCCTTTTCAGTTCAAAGTATGATCATTCAAATTCTGGATACATACGGTTCATTATGAGATCCCTTTAGTAAAATTACCAATGAAACAAGTTGAAAATGAAGTCGAAATTTTATATATATATATATATATATATATATAAAAATATATATACAATTTTGAACCAAAAACCAATGAACGAATTTTACGGAAATTAATATTTTTTCTTTTAATCAAACATCTTGAAATGAATGACATTGATGATATACTGTGAGAGCAGCCACACCCTAGGTATCAGTGCAACAAAATCTGACCGCCCACATTTGAAATAGGCTAATTTTAGTGCTGTTGCTTGGGAGATGAGGCACTTGGGATCTCACCCTGTTGCATCGAAGGTCCTCCTCAGCAACATTTTGCGAGCTTTCAACAAGCCACAGCAATTACCAGCGATGTGCTGAGAGCATTCATCTGCCTCCTACCAGCCTCATTGGGCAGAATGCAGCTGAATTTCACAAGGCTTCCCAATCTCATAAACCAGCTTGCGTTTGCTCTAAACTGCATCAGGAGCAATTCATGTGAGTTAAGGGCTTATCCTTCAAAGTAGTTTGCACCTGCTGTTCCAGGTGTTGGATGCACACACATATTGCACAAGGAGATGGGTTTCCCTGAGCATCAGCTGTTTAGGCTGGGGTTAATTGAAACATTGAGGCTCTCAGTAGAATGGCACTTACTGATGCAATCTATGGGCGGAGACACTAAAGGAAAAGAGGATTGGATAACACTGGGGAATGAGGTAATTGAATTGGCTGGAGCTGACAGCATCTTTAAGAAATGTTCAGTTTGGAGCTTGGGAGTGCCATTACAAACAACGCTTCTGGAAGTTATGAGAACACATTGGGCCGTCTAGTAAAAGGTAATTTGCTTGTCTTTCTCCCAATTTGTGAAATGCTACTTTTAAAATGCAATGTAAAACTTCACAATGCTCTTGGCTTCATATTTCAGTTTAATTTCTTTGGCAAATAATACAATGCATGCAAGTAAAAAAAAAATAATAAAAAAAAGACGTTGCATAATTAAATTTGAAATGTGTGGAACTGTACTCATTTTTTTTTGCCAAAAATCCTGAAAGGTGCTAGGGAGAGGTGATACAAGGAGTATGTGGTCTGTCTGTAGGTGAAGATGAATCGATGGCGACGGTCCGTGGGAGAGATCCAGGCCCGGCGACGCCCGCTGCTGGAATGCCAGCGAGCACAGGCAGCCTTCGTCAAGGGGACTGCATGTCTCCAGCTGCAGGCTGCTTGTCTGGGGAGCAACTCTGACTGCAGCCGCCTGAGAGAGGAGCTGGACGAAACCAGGGCACTGGCACACAGCCTCTCCACAGGTAACACCTCCAAATATCTACGTATTCCTCATAAGATGCTAGCGTATAAAACGGCGTGGCTCCCTTAGCTAGTTAACATAAACCCTGTGTAATGTCAGATAAAGATTAATTCAGAGGAAAAAAAGAAGTTTCACTATCGTTGCACGGACAGGGCTGCAGAAGAGGCTGACAACGATGTTGACTCAAGGAGAGCTGCTGCAGGAGGAAAGGGCAGAAGCAGAACGATTGTGGGTCCTCTTCCTATCCGGGCTGGAGATCTTCCAGCAGGACTTGCAAAAGGTCATACTCCTACAAGAGCTCTTCCCCCTAAAGCAGCCCCGTGACAGACGGTCACTGGTCAACACGGGGGGCTCGGGTGACGGGACGGGAGTCACAGGCCGGGTAACCATGTCACAGATGCCCTGGCCAAAGACGCAAGACCAAGGTGGTCCCTGTCCGGACCTCAGCACACAGATCTCCCAGCTGGAGTCGATGGCACAGGAGATGCTGCGCAAGGTCAACGTACCGTTCTGGTCAGTAGAGGCCACGCAGGAAGCTTGGGCAGATAGTGTTGATACAGAGCAAGACGACGACGAGCCCGTGGAGGAGATGTCAGTGGAGAATGTAGCAGCCGGACCCCAGAGGCTCAGTGGGTGCTGTCACTATCCTGGCTGTCGGGTCCTGTGCCTGCTCAACTGAACACCATGGAGCAGTGTTTCCTCAACCCAGTCCTCCGGGAACCCTGCAGAGCCCACATTTGTTCCCTCCCACCATGGTCTCTGAGGACTGGATTGAGAAACACCGCTAGAGATACAACCACACCCAGGTTTCAGCATAGTAGGTAAGCATACAGTAAGAGTGCTTCTGCAAATGGAGGTGGCTATGCAGAATCTAGAGTTTATACTGGACTATGAAATTTGCACCGCAGAATTATAGGAAGCATAACAGTGTATCAAAACTGGGGAAATTATACTGGGAGTATTATGATGTGCATTAAAAACTGGCATACAATCGGTAGTAAAGTAGATTTACAAGAGCTTTATTTCAATTTTTCCATACAAAAAAAATCACACTGTACACACACACAAAAAAGCATAATTTATAGTCACAAGCACAGGGAAAGAGACACTTAAAATTAAGACGATGACACTAATGATGGTGAATCCCTCAGGTCAATTCTTGTAAGTGGCACGCAGGTGGGCCTTGTAGGCTGAAAAGGTATCACAGAACAGTGTGGTCTAGTTACAGAACAACTTTATGCAGCCTCATTCCTCCCCAATGAAAGAAATCAAGATCCCTGATGAGGGGTTAAATATTTATAAAGAGCAACTTTTATTGCAGACAAGATTGCCATACTATTTGCTAATACATCTATATTACAGTTTAGCCCTCAGATTTGTGTTTCATCCACAAAATACTTCTATGCTGTACAGAAAAAAAAACCACTAACAGCCACTGATTATGCAAAAACAAATTTCAAGCAGTATATGAAACCCTGGGTTTTGACATACAGAATGTTCAAACGATTCTCATTGTAATTATTCTGTTTTATAACCTTATTTCTCAAAAGCAAATACTTTAGGTCTCTGAAAAGGTTTGGCCCAGTTCAAATAAAACTGGAGAATGCATTCTTGCATTCCTCTTCAAAAGCACCATTAACAAGGCTGCCACATAATTAAAATTCAGCGCTTAACTTAAATGTGCATTCATGGGACGGTATATCAGGCATGGCATTTGGTCCTCTTCAGCACAAAAATCAGCTAAATGGGAACATTGTGGGGAGCCACCAGACCTTTCCAGGAGTATAAATGCCACGCAAATAAAGTGGCACTATTAGAGTTAAAGCATCATGAAAAGGGTTCTACAATGAACTGGTCATAAAAATCCATAAATTGTGGAAGCAATTTTTTTAATGAGTGGCCAATAGAAACGTCTTTTAAGGAATGAATTGTTCTTTCCCCATGAGCACTGCTCCTATGACCAGGCTAAGTGAGACAGTACCATGTACCTGTTTTTCTGGTTACATACATTATAAATACAAATAATGGGGATGCCAAAGGAAAGCTAAGGACTCTACAGCTTTCCATTATTGTGCACCTCACCTTTATATGCTGTAATGCCACAGATATCATCTGCCACCTTTTTGATATTGGTATATTGGGGAAGATGAGAAACGTTTCGGAAAGTAAATTTCACATGAATTGGTTGTGCCACTTGAGTCATGGTGTTGGGCCCAAACCTAAGGTTTTTGAGATGCCCAGAAACACCAAACTGAAGGGGGAGAAAACAAAACCCAGAAGGCGGTAAATCAGGTCTTGCTAGGGTCAGATTTCAGAGTCTGGTTTTTTGAAAATACAACACTTCCCAGGAATTTGCACTTGCCAAATTTGGTCGGCCCCCTATTTCTCGCATGACCGTTCAGATGGCAGTGAGAGTTTTGATTCCAGATAGTGTGGAACAAACCCACAGAAGGTCCAATAGGAGCAGCAGATCCCACTGGTACTATACATCTCATGGTGCTTCTCAAATTTCATGTGAGAACCATGTACCCTAATGCACTTTGTACCTAGTTTCAATGTCTCAACATCTCACATCTACCCTGAAAGCAATCAATTGGCTAAGCCAGTTTTGGTATTTGTATTATTCTTGTATTCAGGACACTGGGCTTGACATGCCTAATGAGACAAGCAACACAAATCCACAAAAATCAAAATAGTTATATTTGCGATATAGATATTTGATTGGTATTTAAGCAACGTCTATTTTATGATGTTTAAGATTAAAGGTCTGTGGGAAACCTGATCGATACACGCTGCATGACTGCACAGCATGGCAATGAGATTGACACACAGTGCTGCCTACCTTCCTGGTTTTCCCAAAGCTCAGCAGCACTTGCGTTCATCGGACTTTCATTATTAGGTTCTAGAAATAAAATAAGACCCATATTTCTGAACAAGTTTGAGGGAGCAACATATACAGTACTTGGATTATTATTCAGTAGTAGTATTCAGTCATTGAAAACCACACCGTCACTCTTACCTCCGAGTAAACTCTGGATGGACAGAAGTATTGACCTGACATCATACAAAGCAGACCACTTTTCTTTCAGGATGTCCAAGCAGATGTTACCATGCTCATCAACATTGGGGTGGTAACAGGGAGTGATGAACTTCACTCGGGGTGCCTTGTAGGGGTAACCACTAGGAAACTCCAAAGACAACTTATACCTCAAGCCTTCGTAAACCTAAGAAATAGAAACGTATCAAATGTGAGGGTGTATCGTCATGAACAGAATACTGCAATCAAACAGGCATTATGAATGCATTTAACAAATCAGTTTAAATGGAAATGGGTGTTACGGTATCTAGTAGTAACATATGTGGAAAACATATTGGACACATTGGAAAGGCCTAATCCACAAATCTAAATGGAAACTACCGTTTTGCAAAAGGACACTGCCAGCAAGGCATGGCATTTGGCACCAGTTAAGATATACTCGTGTTAGCTTTCAATCCTATACTTTACCAGGGAAGGAAACGAAAAACTTACCGTGCCATGTGCCCCATCTATGGTACCAATCCACTTAAAGAGATTGTCCGACTCGGGAAAAGCGCTAATCCCTTTGTCTCCAGACATCTGTTAACAAAATATAAAAATAAACAAACAGGTAGACATATAATGGCAAGATAGAAACGGATAAAATTCTCACCATTAGTGTCATCAACTCCTGCTGAAGCCTGGAACAGAGTGATGTAATCAGATAAATGCGATCTTAACGATAAAGCAATTGGCAGATGCCAAACAAATGACAGGTAAAAGATCAAAATCACCTTTATTATGCAAGCAAGCATTTGCTGAAACGCGATTTAAAACAAAAAGGACACAAAACCACAACACAACATATACGTTAAAACAGGCAGCTATACACAATCGTAGTATGCTACCAACGGCTATTACAGCTACTCGCTTATAGCGGTACCTATTTAGCGACACGGCACTCAAGTCCGCTTTTAAACGACCGATCCCCGAACCGGACGGACCGCCCGACATATAAGCAGGATCAGCGGCCCGGTAAGTAGACTCACCTCTTTGACACCGAGCCCTTCGCGGCGGCGCCCCCGGTCTCGCTGCCCTTCAGAGCCGCGGTGGATGAAGCCGCGGCCGGATCCATGTTCTGGGAGGCCATGATCCACACGATATGGGTTTGTTTACGAGGATGCTGAAAGCACACCGCGGTTAGACGGAGCCAGCCAGATAGCAAGAGCTAACCGGGGCAACCGGACTAAACGGAACCGACACAGGTAAGAAGCCAGTGGGTAAGCGGCAACCAGCGAGCCACTAACCGGCCATGAGGTTACCAAGAGTTGCTAAATAACCCCTCAGCTTTAATTAACTATGCGTCTGAAACAACGGGCTACTATCAGACTACTTGGGAACTAGTGATTAATACAACGGAAGCACACTCATTACTACTAGCTAGCTGCATTAGCTAACGAAATAAACAGTCTACTAGCTAGCTTGAACTGGTAGCGTCGAAAGACAAGTCAATGTGGAGTAGAGATTACCTAACACTTCTATAAATGACTAGTCAAACACCTGTTAAATGCTACCTCTATCACCTTGCTAAGCTTTTTTTTATTATTGATCTTCTACAGCAAACTGGGACTATAATTAAATTGAATTAAATCTGCCAAAAGAGGAGCGAAATCAAAATGCCAACTAAGAAGTCTACTTTATATCTCGTTAACCAAACTTTTTTTTTTTTATAAAATGACTTTTACAAGTTGTAAATGTAATATTTCACGACACATTACCCAAGACCTTCCTCCTTCGCTCTTCGGGCGTTGAAACTCTCCCTCTACGAACTCATCCCGCCCCTCAGTTTAAACTTTTCCCTTTTAGAACCTGTCCCCGCCCACATTTGTAAATAAGCCAATCGGGTTAGAATATTTGAAAACGAAGCCGCTTCTTAGCCACTGTGTAGGGATGACGCACGTTCTTTTAAACTTTAATTTCATTGGACTGGAAAGTGTCGGAAGTGACCCTGACGTTGATTCGGCATCCTGCATCTAATTAATGTTTGTCCAAACCTGCTATTTTCTGTTACTCCCTTTTAATGTTTGCAATTTCAGTAAGCATTTATTTTGCCTCCAGATTTTAATGCGACAGAACTGCACAGCTGTATTTTACTTACAAGCCATCAAAATATTATCAATTCAATGAATATATTCCATTATTTGATGTCTGCTTGTAAACATTGCTTTACATATTGATGTTCCACCGCTCCCTCTACCACATAACAGCCAGACATGTCTTGTTCCATTTTGTACCATTTTCTGCCAGCTGTATTCAAAACGTATGGAGAAATAATTAATTTTCACTACTTCCCTGACAAAATATACTTAATTCCGAAATATTAAATCAGTGCCAAGCAAAGTAATTCTTGTCTCTAAAGATGAACCCAAGTTACAGGCAAGATTTAAGATTATTTGCTCTGCTATTATTGTATGTACTTAACCCTTATGATTACACATATGCCTATACATTTTTATGTACTTGTCCAGATTGTATTAAATTCAGCCTAAACTAAAAGGTACCAATCTTACTACAGAAAGTGTCAGATTTTTTCCTGCTGTGTACTATTACTATTACTATTACAATCATGTGCCACCCACTCCATCCATCCATCCATCCATCCATCCATCCCCACTTACCCAGTGCAGGATCACTCCCTGGATCCGATTTCAGGAACAAACAAGGTTCAATTCATGGGAAATCTTGAGTGGATGCCAGTCCTGCACAATCTCTGACACACTTGACACTATTGGCTGGACAGCAATTCACCTGACCACAAGCATTTGGACTGTAGGAGGAAGCCATGAGAACAGAAAAGGAATATGCAAACTCCACACAGATAGAGCCAAGGTCAGGACCTGAACTCAAAGCTCATTGTATCAGCAATGAATACTGGAGTGAGAACAAATTCTGTAAATTATAAATAACATCTGTTACCAAAGTTTGCAACAAGAAACAACCATTGAAACAAAATGTTTAATATTTAATGAATACTGCAGGGATTTCAAAGACATACACATTAAGCATTATGTATGCCTATGCATAGACATTTCAAATTAAACTGTCTTCCCCAGTGTAACCAATAATGTACTAAACGAAAGACCCAACACATACAACAGAAAGAATTCATTAAAAAGGCAGTACATAATCCAGATGGTGGAAAAAACAGCATTTCATCATTTAAATAAACTGTTGTACAAAAAGAAAAAAAATAGAATAATGATATACGTTTCCCTCTAATAAAAGCACTATTGACTAGTCAATTAAACAAACAAAAAAACTCATTGGCATTATAACATTGACAAGAAAGCACATCCCACAGATATATGCCGTCAAAACATATAACCTGATGTACAGCAACCAATATGCAGTGGTGTTACACCTGCTGTTTAAAATTCATTGAGAGTTTGGAGGGCAGAAATTCCAAGTACTAGGTGCTCTTCCAGTGGATGGACTATTAAACAGTAAGGTTTATTTTATACTCTAAGGCTTAATTCGGGGATCTAGTAAACGAACACATCTGTTGCTCTACAATTTAAAGAACATTAGGAAATATATTATTCATAGTAAGAAATTAACTAGCAGTGCAAGTTAAGTTTATATAACAATTTATTTCTTTTTTCAAGTGCAGTCATATCAACAGGCACCATGTTACACACAACAGAATACTGAAAGAACGCACTAAAAGGGCCATCTGCCTATCTGTGATGAGGTTTCTCACTGTTTGTCCTTTGAGTTGACTTGTCCTGGCCCCGTTTCCTGCTTCACAGTTTCCCCTCTCCTCATCCTGCTGTTCTTACTCTTTCTCTGACCGTTGGGCTTCCATCGCCTTCTGCATCTTCTCGATCATCCATGGCGGGACCATAAAGGGCTTCAGTTCATCCAGTCTCAGCTCCGGGCAGTCTCTGCCAATTTAACAACAAACGATGATGGTTCCACCATTTCCCGACATTTCTGCGGCACATCAAGCGTCAGTTAAATGGTAGCATTACCTGTAGTCTTCACTCCTTGCAAGATCCTGTACGTCCTCTTCAATTAGAAGGTAGGCCTTTTAACAGAAGCACATCACTCAGAGGTGGGCATTACCATGCGACCAAAAAAAAAAAAAAAAAAAGAGTTGCGTATATTTAAAATACTGTTGCATAAGAAAAGGCCAAGAAAATTCACCATTTTTCCACCTGTTGCCCTCATATGTTGCTTTTCTGCCAGCCAATGTTTGTCCTGAGCATCAGCAGCATACTGGAACATAAAGACATGTTTCATTTCATATTTCATTGTACCTCACTGAATAAAGCATTTCCTCAACGATAACTTTCTCGTCTAGTTATTTTTAACATAGGCTCAGTAAAACACATTTATCCTAGTTTTACTGTATGATATATTTCACCTCACCTTAAAGAGGTCAGCGTGTTTGATGTAAATTCTTCCTCTGGTGCCACCCATCCCAAGAGCCCTACAATATGGGCTTTAGTAAGTACAATAACACACACAAAGTGCATAAAACTTATCCACAGAGGATATGTTCCAGGACCCATGGGGATGCATGAAAATGCAGACAGTACAGAATCCTATATATACACACACTATTTTTATTCCTATACATAAATATTGATTAGACACCATAAGAGATTAACAACAATACCTAATAATAAAAATTATAAAAATGTGGTGCAATAAAAGTTACATGAATGCAGTCAAATGCGATACGGATTTGATAAGAGACGAATACTAAGTGCCTAATGGGTATAAGCCGTGGATATCATGGATGAGGGGCGATTTACGTCCCCGGGCAGGACGGCATGAGATTTCATTACGTTACTGAGAATGGTGCACAACTTGAAACTTAGGAATTTTTTTTATACTGGGAATTTTCCACTTAATATTTGTGGACCGTGGTTGACTATGGGTAACTGAAACCATGGATAAGGGGGGATCATTGTACATACACAGTTAAGAGTGAATCTTGGGGTCTGACCAGATACATTATCCGTGAGAACTTGCTACCGCAATGCTACAGATAAAATTTACTTCAACAGTGCCACAATGTGTCGCAAAAAAAAAATATGCCTGCAAATTGGGAAAAGATCAGCCAAATACTTTTTGAGTTATCATGCTGACAATATGAAGTCTCTGAGCTGGTCTTCTCTTTACTATCATTATGCAGCCCTGCTTCAATTTTGGTGCAATCTGTCTCAAAATTTGATCAGTCGCAGATCTTCATCCTTAAAACATGCTGCAAATGTTAAAAAAGATCCATCAAATTCTTTCTGAGATATTGTGCTAATGGCATCAAATGTCAGAAATAACCCCTTTTTGATGTCACTATGCACCACTGCTTCAGTTTTGGGGCAATTTGTCTCAAAATTTGATCTTCTAGATTGTCACCCCTATAATGTGGCTGCAAAGTTAAAAAAAAATAAAAATCAGTACAGTACTTTTAAAGTTACTGTATTCACAAGACCAAGCATATTCTACAGCTGCCGTTTCCTTCCTTGGCTGCCACATGGCACTGCTGCTTCCATTTTGGGACAATTTATCTGAAAATGAAACTAGTAGTAGATCTTTATCCATATAATGTTTTTGTGAAGCAGTAATAAGATCCATCAAATACCTTTTGACATCACATTCACAAGCTGAAAGGTCTGCTTTTTTCTTTCATTTTGATTTTAGAGTGATCTGTCTCAAAATTTAATCAGTTCTAGTTTGACACCCATATAATGTCACTGCTAAGTCTGAAAAAATCCAGCAAGCAGTTATTGAGTTATTGTCTTAATGGGATCAAGTGTCAAAAGTACCTCTTTTTGCTATCTATATCTGACGCTGGTTCAATTTTGGGGTGATCAGTCTCAAAATTTAATCAGTTCCTTTCCAGCTCCCCTACAAATGCTTCTGCAAAGTTTGAAAAACATCCATAAAATAATTGTTCACCTATCTTTTTAGTGGAATCAAGTACTGCTTAAATTTCAGGACTATCTGTCTCAAACTGTAATCATCTTTCGTTCCTCACACATACAATGCCTGTGTAAAGTTTGAAAATGTTCTGTCAAACAGTTTTTCAGTTATTGGCTCACAATGCAAACTGTCTAACGGCAGTGGACTGGTGCTAAAACCACATGTATTCACCAAAGGCTGGGGAATTCAATTATCTGCAATTTGTGCCACAGTAGTCCTTCTGTTGGGTTGTACCACACAGTCTGCATTAACAAGTGCTGGCTATCCAGCACCCTGTCAGCAGATTATGGTTTTCCCCATCCTCAAACCACTCTCAGTAGCAATTCACCATGACTGACCATGAGCACCCCACAAGTCTTGCAGTTTCAGAGATGCTCTGACTTAGTCATCTGGCCATAATGATCTGACCCTTAGGAAATTCACTCGGATTTTTATCCTTCTGCATTCAACATGTTGACTACAAGTACCAAATACTAGCTTACCATCTATTACATCTTGTACCTTGACAGTGTTTATGAGATGGTCAACATTATTCCCTTCATGTGGGGGGTGGTCATAATGTTTTGGCTCATCAGTGTGCGTGCGTGTGCATCAATGTCTGTGTGTATATATAAAGCACTGTGAGCAAACAACATACTCATTGCTCATACTTATTTGCTCTTGATCCCAGGACAAACGTAGTCTTCTCATTCAGCCTGGAGGGATCCCACTGAAATAGAAGTTGTGCAGTGTAACTAGAGCTTCTGAAAAACCAAGGGGTTTAATGATAAAGTAGGACAAGAGCCGAGTATCACAGGGATCCTCATTAAAACTACTTGAACTTTTGAGCAGATCCTTGATCTGTCAATGTCTTCTGTTCAAATGAAGTTCGAAAAGTCGTATTGTACCCACT